GGTCGCGCCGCCGGGAAGAGGCCGGCGCCGCCCGCGCCCAGCGCCCTGGCGTCGGCGAGGGCGGCTGGGCGCTTGCCGCCGCCCCGCGCAGCGGCGCTTCCCCGGGGAGGATTGGGCGAAGCCGCCATCGCTCCGTACGTCTAGGGCCCAGCGAGGGCCCCCAATCAAGAGGAGGTTCCGTCTGATTTGTTCCGGGGGCTGCATCCTGAGATCTCACGATGCGAAGAGGCAGCAACCTCGCAGCAACATCTGAGGGGAGCCTTGGACCCCATTTTCCTGATTCATTTTTCGATCCCGATCGACCTGTGAGGGTCTAGGCATCCTAAATGGGGTCGGAGCTAAATGGGGTGCGAGGATCGCGCCGCATCGCCGATGCATCAGCGATGCGGCTCGACGTGGAACCCGTTTTTCCCCACACCGACGTCTCCGATGCATCGCCCACGTCGCCCATCGATGCATCGCCAGTGCATCGCCGATGCATCGCCCATGTATCGGCGATGCGGCGCGATCCCCCGACCCCACACTTTTGGACCCCATCGAGCAGGCCTTTAGTGCAGCCGGACCGGAAGTACAGTCAACCCGCATAGGAAGGATGGGCCATTTTCTCAAGGGTGCCCCTTGCATCCTCCCTTTTCGGCCCATCCTTGGCCACTGTCGCTGGCCGCGCCCCCCGCGCAAGGCGTCGGCATGGCCTTCCAAGGCCCTTGCGCCTCCCCGGATTCGGGGGTGGACGGACCTCCTTCCCTGACACGTCGATTGAGGAATTGGCCGTGGTCTGTTCGCGAGAGGGCGTCGCGGCCGTCATTTTTGCGGGTCCAGGTCCGCCGGTTTCGGTCCCAGGCCGTTTTCACTAAGGGGAGGTCTACTAAAGGGAGGTTTGTCCACCGCCGACGGGTGCTCTCCGATCCGGGCGTCGAGGCGCAAGCGGCCGTGGCGGCGAGGGGCTCCAGGGCGGGCAGTGTGTGCGCCCGGGTGTCCAGCGTCGCGTGCTTTCGTCCGTACCGGGCCCCCGCACGTCCCGCCGTGGCCCTTCCCTCCTCCTCCTCCTCCTTCTCCTCCTCCTCCTCCTTCTCCTCCTCCTCCTCCTCCTCCTCCTCCTCCTCGCCCCGGGGCCGTTTTTTCTTCACCCCGGGGCTGGGGAACCCCTGGGAACCAGCGGAGCCCCTTGGAGCTCCCTAGAGCAGGAGTCGTCGCTTCCGTGCCCGTCTCGAACGCTGTGCCCGGGCGGGAGGCGCCTCAGAGGCCTCGAAGAGCTCGATCCTGAGGTTGCCCGCGGCACGGTGCGGGGGCGTCCAGGAGGGGTGGGTCGGAGGTTGACAGAACTCCCAACAGTGACACGTCGATTAGTAAATTGTCCGTTTTCGGTTCTCGAGAGGGCGCCGTGGCCGTTATTTTCCAGGCTTGCGCCCGCCAGGTTTGGGCCTCAGGTCGTTTTCACTAAACCACGTTTTACTAAATGGGGGTCTGTCCATCCCCGAGGTGGGTCGCAAGGTATGGACCGAGGCACGTGCGCGGCCAGGGGGGGGCAGGAGACGCATTGAAAGCAGAAAAACAATAATAATAATAATCGTAATAAGAACACGCATGATATTACTAATAATAATAATACTAATAATAATGGTAATACTAATAACAATAAGAATAAGAATAATAATAATATTAATAATAATAATAATCATGATCACCATCATCATCATCATCATCATCATCATCATCATCATCATCATCATCATCATCATCATAAGACTAATAATAATACTAACAATACTAATTCTACTCGTAATAATATTACTAATAATAATAGTCATCGTACTACTAATACTAATAGTACTGGTAATAATAACAATAATAATAGTAATACTAATGATAATACTAGTAATAATAAAGAAACGCATTTAGAACAACCATATGAAGAGAAATAACGAATGATCATCCTACTAATAATAGTCACACCAGAGACAAAAAAACCCAATCAGTGGATGATTTAATGAGATCGATGGTGAGATCGATTGAGTCAGATGAATCGTGAGATCGATACGGAGATCGACCGGGAACCCGGGAACCCGGAACCCTCCGAAATCGGCCCAGAACTAACAACCGGGAACTTGGAACCGGCAACCCGGGAACCCAGCCTGCCACCAAAATCGGCGGGAAATGTTCGCCAAATGTTTCAACCTCCGCTAGGACCCCTTCAGTGCAAGCACTGATTGGGGAATAAGAGTCAGAAGAAAAATAATCAGGAGAAGAAGAAGAAGAAGAAGAAGAAGCAGAAGAAGACGAGAAAGAGCAGGTCATGGAATCTGGAGAGATGGCATGGCCCTGGCCATGATATCCCCCCCTGGTCATCACCCCTCCTGCTTGGCCGCCCCAGAGTTGTAGGTCGTCGGTGGCGGCATCGATATCTCGTAGCTCCGGGAGGTCTTGAATCTTGCCGGAGCCCCCCCCCCCAAAAGCTCTTGGTTGGCAGAAGACTCTGCGCGTCCCCCCCCGCCCTCCACCTCGTTCTCCTCCCCTTCCCCCCCCTCCTCCTCCTCCTCCTCCTCCTCCACCCTGTCCTTTCTCCCCCTCCTTTGGATCCTTTTCTTCCCCCTCCTCCCCATCTCCCTGCGATGGCGACGACGGCGGCGGCGGAACAGTCATTTGCCCTCAGGTCGCCCCCGAAAAACCATTTCGTTTGCCCATTCTCGGAGGAGGGGGTTATTGACGGCCTATCGCGGTCTTCTTTCTGGCCCCCCCCCCTTCGCCCGTGTTGTGTCGGCCGCCGCTTCGGAGGCAGCTAGTGTTGCCCACAGGGTGCGAATTCCGCCCCCCTTCCCACCTTTGGTGGCGCCCCTCGTGGGCTGATGTGGTTGGGGGGGATTTCTTATAAGGAGGGAAGACACAGACACAAGTAATCGTCGACTCCCAGAAAATAGGGGCAAATCCCACCAGCCCTCTGGGCGTCGGTGGTTTAGGGAGTTTCCTCTTCCACCCCTCCTTCCCCTTCGGGGAGGGGTTTATCACTGTTCCCTATTCATATACACCCCCTCCCCCAGGCGACTTGGGGCCAACCCAGGTCCATGACGACCTCCCCACCACAATCCCTTGTAAAAAACAATGCAAAACACATTCTGCCTCCAACTTCGGAACATGCGCAGCCAACCCGATGCGCCCCCCCCCACCATCCCTGTCAAAAAACAATACAGAGTACACTTGGCGGAGGCGGCGGCGGCTGGCGCGGCGGCTGCGGCGGCTGCGGCGGCGGCGGCGGCTGCGGCGGCTGCGGCGGCGGCGGCGGCGGCGGTGGCGGCGGCGGCTTCGGCGGCGGAAGCGGTAGCGGCAGCGGCTGCGGCGGCGGCGGCGGCAGCGGCGGCGGCGGCGGCGGCGGCGGAGGCGGCGGTGGCGGCGGCGAATTGGCCCCCAGTAGCTGCCCATCCAAAAACGACTGCTGAATGTGCTGAGGTTCGGGCCAGACTCGGGTGCTACGTATGTGTTGGGAGGGCGGGTGGGAGTGAGCGAGACGTCTTGCGGGCGGGGGGGGTCTTGACCCCTCCCCCTACCCCCTCCCCCTGGACCTGGAGGGGGGGGGGGTCGCGAGGTGTCAGGGCGTCCGAAACGGCCTCGGGGAGGAAGCCCAAATCAATGGTTTTACCAGGGTTTGGCCCCATTTTGGCCTCCTGGCGGGGGGGGGCCCTAATTGTGACTTCCCCTCTTGTTTGATCGATCTCCTCCAAGATAACCCCAATAAGTGCCCAGGAGGCCCCAAGTGGTCCCCAAGAGGCCCCCAGGAGGCCCCCCAAAGGATCCCAACCGGCCCCAAGAGGCTCCCCCGAGGCACCCAAGACCCCGAAGAGCCCGCCCAGGAGGCCCCAAGAGATCCCAAGATGGCCCCAAGAGGCGCCCAAGAGGCCCCCAGGAGGCCCCCAAGAAGACCCCAAGCGGCCCCAAGAGGCCCCCCCGGGGCACCCACGACCCCGAAGAGCCCCCCAGGATCGCGAAGAGACCCCCAAGACGTCCCAAGAGGCCACCAAGAATCGCTCAAGAGATCCCCAGGAGGCTCCGAGAGGCATCCAAGAGACCTCTGGCCCTTGTGCTTGCCCTCCCCCTCCTCCTGTTCCTCCTTCCTCCTCCTCCTCCTTCTCTTCCTCCTCCTCCGCCTCCTCCTCATTCTATTTATCTTCTTTCTTCCCACTCCCTCATCCATCCATCCATCCACCTCCTCCTTCTCCTCCTCACTCCTTTGCACGGTTCGGCCGTCCCCCTCTTTGCTGCCGCACTTCCCTGATCACCTCAACTCGCCTGCACATCGTTTTTGGATGGGCTGGTGGGGATACGCGAAGCGGCGTCTAGAATATGGCAAGTGAGCGGGGGAAGACGAACACCCGAACACCGAGAAAATATAGGAAAATAGGGGGCATGTTTTTTTGTTGTGTGTGTGTTTTTGTGTGTGTCCCAGGGCCCCTTTTTCACTAGCAGCAACTTCGGGGTGCCGGGCCTTTCTCTACTCTCCTCCGCTTCCTCGCTCCCGCCACGCACGTTGTGCTCCGTAAGCCGTCCAACAAAACGTTTGTCTTTTTTTTTCGGACGGGGCTATAGGACGAGGACGAATCCGTTCCAGAGCGTTCCGGAACGCTCTCAGAGCGTTAAAGACATCCTCCACAGAGCCGCCGGACCTCCGAGATGCTCAATGTGATCCGGACCCGAATTTGTCCTCATCCTCCTCCTCCTACTCCTCCTCCTCCTCCTCCTCCTCCTCCTCCTCCTCCTCCTCCTCCTCCTCCTCCTCCTCCTCCCCCTCCTCTCCTCCTCTCCTTTACCCGATCCTCCTCTGTGGTCTGGGGCGGGGTGGGGTCGCGCCTGGGCCCTGGGGGTGGCCTTGGGAGCCGTCGTCCCCTGGGTCCCCTGGCTTAGTCTTACCCAGACCCCCGACGTCATGATTTGTTCATGACGTTGACCCCCAGGGGTCGCGACCCAATCCCCGGGACCAGTTTCTGTTCCTCCAGAGTCGTTTTTTGACGCCCCCGCGGCCCCGTAAGGGCCCCCAGAGGCTGCAAACAGCGAACGAAAATCCGGTCGTGGTTTGTGCTCATGTCTCGAGAGGGTCTGGGTATTCTTGTCCCCTCAGGCGTTGTGCGCGGGCGCGGTCGCGCCCCCGCTCGTCCACGCCCGGGCGGCCCTGGGCGGTTCGCAGGCCGCCCCGACGCGCCGGGACGGGCGCCTGCGGTGGCGGTCTCTGCGGGGAAGCCTCGTGGCGCTGCTGAAGTTGTGGGGGTCCATCGCGCTGGGCATAAAGGTCGAGAAGGGAAGCGGCAAAGCTCCCCAGATATCCAACGCGTTGACAAAAATCAAGACGGTTTTTTTTTCGTTATTTTCAGCCTCTGGGGGCTTCTACCGGGCCGCGGAACTTTCAAAAAACGACCCTGGATGAAAACATCGGTCTTGGGGAATGGGTCGAGACCCCTGGGTGTCGAGGCCATGAAAAAATCATGACGTCGGGGGTCGGGGAACGGCGAAGTAGGTGACGGGGATGTAACCCCGTGCCCCGGATAATAAAGCATCCCCTTCTTTTAACTTCTAATAGTTGACTATCCCAGGCCAAGACAGAGTTGCTCGGGGGAAAGAGGCGGCGAGGCCGAACTTCATTATCGCCGGGGGAACTGCTAATCGAAGTTGTCATCTTCTTATGTTGAGTAGCAACACTGTCTCGAACGTGTGCCAGGGCTATAGGCTTCTGTATTGTAGGTTGGATTGGTCCGTGCCCACGCCAATTTTAGGACAGCGTTGTTCGCGCTTTCCTACAATTCGTCGTGTTGCTTTCGCGCGGGAAGTTTGCGTATTTGAAATTTTGGAAGGTGTGGTTCGTGGTTTCCTATATTATGTTCTGTGCGATCTCGATGTCGCAAAACCAGATGTTCAACATCACCGTTGACCAACGTCGCCATTAGCGCGGCCTTGGCCTTGGAAGGTACCGACCAGCCACGCGTAATAGTGACCTTTGGCCAGGTTTACCTTTGGTGCGGGCCCACAGGGGTCCTGCCGGCATTGGTTGGCGCACTTGGAATGCGTGTACTTGTCCTCTCCCGCGGCCGCCCCACGCCGCGCAACGCAGGCCACTCTCGTCGTGCAGCCGAACCGATGCCGCTGCCCCTCCCCCGTCGTCGCCCTCTTGGGCCTCCCGGGAGGCCCTCGCCACGGCCGCATTCGCCTCGAGATCCTGACCAGAGCGCGCCCCAGGAGAGGATCTGGGGAGCAGCGGTACTGCCGGCAGCCGCACACTCTCGGGCCTCCGCGCGGATCTCGGGGCTCGGCGCGGCGCCCCGCACGGCGGCGCCGCGGGCGCCGCCCCGCCGGAACGACCCGCGCGCCACGGGGAGGGGTCTCCGCGCCGATCCCAGAGCTCGGGGCGGACCTCCGAGGGGGCCCGCGCTTTCGTGCCGCCTCGTGGCGCCCCCGGGCAGATTTTCCGCGGCGACGCCGTCGGCCGGCTCACGGAGGCGGTGTCCCACAGCCAGGCTCTGGAGGTTCGGGTCGGGCGAAAAGGGGGGGATTGGGAAAGGGGGGGGTTACGAAATTTGCTGCATGCAGCTGGTTTCGGCCTCACCGAGGGGCCCATTCCTCGATACATGGGCGCCTCCGGCGCCGGGAGGCGCCGGGGAAATCAGCTACGTGAGCTGATTCTCAAACCCCCCCTTTGCTATCCCCCCCTTTCGCCCGACCCGAGAGGTGTGCGCGTTCTCCTCGCTGGCGCTGGTGCCGTTCCTCATGGCGCGCTTCCGGCTCGTGGTCGACGGCGTCGAGGAGATCCTGGAGCAGTTGAGCGTCATGCTGAGGAAGCTTCGCGGCGAGTATTCGGTGGCCGCCTACATTACAGCGCAGGCACGGAAGCTGGTCGAGACGGTCACGCAGAGTTTCCTGCTGTTCTTTGCATTCAACTTGTTCGTGAACGCTATCCCGGACTCTTTCGAGATGGAGGTCCCGAAGCTGTTCCGTTTTCTTGATGCTAATGGCGACGGGACGTTGGAAGCGAGTGAGATAGAGGAGGGCATGTACAAGGTCACATCTAGAATATTGAATGCGGTCTTTCAGACAGCGATCATACAGTATTTGTTGCGAGTAAAGACCTGCCCAGCAGGCTGGGTGTCCTTCTCGAAGACTGTTGACAAAGAGAGCAACCTGCTGCAGATGTACTGGTCTGCGGTGTCGGAAAGGAGCGGTTGGCTCAAAATTATAGATGTTGTGGTGACTGCGGCTTGTTACGTTCTGATATTCTACTGCTGGTGCGTCGCTCTGGGCATCGACCTGAGGACCGTGACCGCAGCAGGGGGTGTCAGCGGTATCGCCATCGGCCTTGCAGCGCAGCAGGTGGTGGGCAACGCCGTGGCAGCGCTGATCATGCTGGCCTCGTCGCCGTGCGTCGTCGGAGACAAGGTGGAGGTGGGACCCGACGAGCTGCGCTACACGGGCACGGTGAAAAAGATTGGGTGGAACGCCACCTGCATTCGCCTTGATTCCGGGCGCGAAGTGTTCGTCCCCAACGCCACGATGCTCAATGCCCCGCTGGTCGTGCTGGAGAATGCGGACACGGGCCAGGCCAGCGTCCTCGGCGAAGCAAAGTTCGGGTGCGGAAAGTAGGCACGCACGCAACGGATCGTCGATTCCCAGGAACATGTGGGAAATTTCGGAAGTAGAGGGGGAAGACGAACATCCCGAAAATGTTCGGAGAGATTGGGGGTCCCTTGGGGTCTGTCTATCTCTCTGTGTTTCCCAGGGCCCCGTCAGCAGGCCTTGTGGTCTGCGATCCCGTGCTTCGGGGTCTCGCGGGCTACCCCGAGATCTCGATCGATCCCCTTGGGGGTTGCCAGGCCTTCGTCCAGGAGGCGTGTGCTCTTCATGACCCAAGGGCCTCAAACAATTTGGCCTCCCCAGGTTCGGAGGCGGCCAAGAGGGGGGGGATGACTAGAGGGGTGGGTGGGTATCATGGCGTGGGTCATGATATTTCCTTAGGTTTCATGTCGCCTCTTCTTATTTCATTACGTTTCTGGCCCCCCCCTCCCTGGGCCTCGCACATACCGCCGGCCATGATTTGCGCCCCCCTTCTTGGACGCCCACCTCTTGGCCGCCCCCGACAGGTGAACGTCTTCCTTGTTTTGCCGATCGGCGCGGGTCCTCGCACCCCCCTCCCATGGAGTAGATCTATGCTGTTTTGAACGAATAGGCAGAGGTCAAGAGCCAGACGCCCCCCCCTTCCGCCCAATGTCGGAACGCCGAATGAGACAACGTTCACCAGCGGCGGGAGAGCCACAGAAGTCGGTCGTTGAAAGCAGGCATTTGTGGATTCCCAGATCCCCTATCGACTTTGGGCGCCTCCCCAATGCAAGGATCGAGCGATTTCCCTTCCATCCCTCCCTTCCATGAGTGGACGGAAGCCCGATACATGTTTGCCACCTTCCTGCTTCCTGCCTCTGCCGACCTTCTCTCCGACCGACGGACAGCCGTCGGGGATGATAGCAAGCGGCATGCGCAGAAGCGTGCGGACTCCCGCTCGTGTCTCTTGCCCTCCTCCTCCTCCTCATCCTCCTCCTCCTCCTCCTCCTCCTATCGGCCCTTCGGATAATGTCAGGCTCCCTTTAAGTTTTGAGAGCCAAGGCCAGCGCGCTCGGAAGCCCCGCCGCCAGCCGCAACTGCAGGGTCACCGTCGTGAGCTGCAGCAATCTCCCGGCGACGGACCTCGGGGGCGCCTCGGACCCCTACGTGGTGGTCGTGGCGTCTGGGACCCACAGGCCCGCCGGCCGTGTGCGGGGAGCTGTTGCTGTAGTCTCGACTACACTTAAGTCGGGCACGTCCCTCTACAGGAAGATTGTTCAAAAATAGTCAAACAGAGTCTGGTGATTATTTCTTGATTATGTTTTGGCTATTTGATGTCTGACTATATCCAATTGTTCATCCAAATCCGCCTGTAGGGGGACATGCCCGACCTAAGACTACAGGTAAGAGTGACCTTCCGCCGGAGTGACCTCTGCTGCGGGCCCAAGGGTCCCCCGATCGCCGAACGCAATGCGGTAGTAGGCCTCCAAAGATCGAGGAAGAAAAACGCCATCAACATAAACTTGTGGCGCTCCGCGCGGACCTCTTGGATCCTCGCTGCGCGCTCCGCACGCCAGGAGCGCCAGATCCAAGAAATCCGCGCAGAGCGCCAGCAGCTTATGCTTATCCCGTTGTTTCCTTCTGTAGATGTTTTCGGGGCAACCTGGTTCTCGCTATCTGGAGGGTTCTGACCTTCCTTGGGCGCTCTCGGAGTCACGGCTGGGTCCGCCTCGAAGTGCTGGTCAGAGCGCTTCATGGGAGAGCTCCCGAGGTAGATTTTGGACCCCGACCTGTTCCCTTCTGTGTCGGCGTGCCCAGGGGGCAAGTGAGACGTGGCGGGCTTCTCAGGAGGCTCGGAACTCGGAGGGGTGGGGGGGCAGAACCCAGGGGGGAGGGTACTTAGTCGAAGAAGAAGAAGAAACGCCATAGACATAATCTGTTGGCGCTCCTCGTGCTCAAAGTTTATGTTTATGGCGTTTTTCCTTTTTCCAATTTGGGAGAGGGCTTTGGTTAGGAAGCTGGAAGAGGAAACGCTCACAACCACTCCCGCCCGGAGATTTTCGCCAGGCGCGTTCGTGGTCGTGGAGCCCGATATAACGGCCCCAGGGGCCGAAATCAAAGGAAAAGCGCACGGGATATAACACAAGCGTATAATATTCGGAATTTTGAGTTTCGTCCGCCCCGATCTGGGCACTTTGGGATGATCCGCATTTTTTGATGTTGCGGCCCGTGCTTGGTTACCAGCCTCGAACGTATCCCTATCCCTAAGATTGACACGCCAAAAGGCGATGACAATCTTAGGGATTTGCCTTTTAAACATAAGGGAATCCCTAAGATTGGCATCGTGATGAGGAGATGTCCATTATAGGGATAGGGATATGTTCCAGGCTGGTAACTTGGGGCCTCCAGACGCTTCTGGCGCTGAATTTTTAAAGCCTTTCTGGGACCTTCAGTCCTGCCTTTTTTCACCGAGGGCGTTCCGCTACTCGCAGAGTGCCCATCCGCCAGCGTTCGAAACAAGACAGTCCTCCTGCATGTGATGGATCGTAGATCCCCCGCGGCGGATCCAAGCCATTTGCGGGCGGTTGCTTCGCGAGCAATGGAACGCGCTTGCATATGTTTGGCTGACCGCCCCCCCTTGCCCCGCCCCCGGAGGAGGAGGAGGAGGAGGAGGAGGAGGAGGAGGAGGAGGAGGAGGAGGAGGAGGAGGAGGAGGAGGAGGAGGAGGAGGAGGAGGAGGAGGAGGAGGAGGAGGAGGAGGAGGAGGAGGAGGAGGAGGAGAAGAGAAAACGTTCTTCACAAACATAATATATCGGAGCTCTCCACGGATCTCTTGGACCGGCGCTGGGCCCCCCCCCCCCCGCGGCGCCTCGGGCGCCGCCCCTGGCCGCCTTTGGCGCGCTCCGCGCGCCAGGGAGGGCCCGGAGGGATGCATTCGCTTTCTGACCTCAACCCCGGCGCGCTGCAAAGCAGGCGCCAACTATACACCAACACCGATCCTGGCCCAGGATCACCCTGGGCCCAGGATCGGTGTATATGCCTTCTTGCGCAAGGCAGGAGGGCGTATACACCGATCCTTGGCCCAGGGTGATCCTGGCCAGGATCGGTGTTGGTGTATAGTTGGTGCCTTCCTAGCAAAGCAGGCGCCTGGAGGCGAGCCGCCAGCAGACGTCCGTGCAGAGTGGGACCGTATCGCCGCGTTGGGAGGAGACCTTCGCCATCCCCGACGTGCTCGAGTCCGAGACGCTGTCCTTCGTGGTGTACGATGCGGACGTCATCGGCAGTGACGACTTTCTGGGCATGTGCGAGCTGGACGGCTCCAGCTTCTTCCCAGATGGCTTCTCTGGCGACTTGGTCCTTTCCGGAGGCGCGGCGGACGATTTCGACGGCAAGGTGCTCCTGCGAGTGAGGGTCACTTTGGAGGAGCCCGCAATCCAGAGTTTTCCCGAGGAGGCTCCCACGGCGGAGTAGTGGCCTCGAGGTTGGCCTGGTCCCCTGTGGGGGCGCGGCGGAGAATGTCTTCGGCAGGGCGTTCCTGCGAGTGATGGTCACCTTGGAGGGCCCCGACCGAGCAGGCCGCAGCGACATCGCTGCCGATCGGGCCCCCCCGGTTTCACCACTCATTCAGCTATACCAGTCCTCTACGACGAACGGTGTTGCGCTCCGTCTGGGGGGCGGAGCTCTGCTTTGTGTAGTGGAGTTCGCATGTGTTCTGCTGGCAGCCGCAGGCGCACCCGCGCTATTGAGCATGCGCTGTGCTCAACAGCAGCAGGACGTCGGGGCGGGCAGCCAGCACCAGATGTGGCCCCATTTTTCGCAGCAGGAGTCTCAGTACTTACGCTGCAAAAACAAGCCAATCACGGAGTGGGTCACACGGGTAGCCGTTTTGCGAGACATCCGCAAGTCAGGTCAACACCTCTTCCTCTGCCCGCCTCTGCTTGGCAAGACACCGAAGACGCTCACAGGGGCCAGCATCTGTTCGGCCGTATTTGATTCAGTTGACTCCCTTATATGCCCGATCGTTGCATTGATTTGTCTCCTGTGTACTCTTTTAAGGTCCCCCCGTGGTTCACGCGATTCGTCTTTGCGTTGGGCGCCCCGTGTGTCCCGATTCTCGTCCGCAGTCGGCGCCCGCCTGACGGCCATCGCGCAGCAGCTGGGGACCCTCAGCGGGGCGCTCAGCAGCTCTCTGCTTCGATGCGAAGCGGGTACAGGCGCGCACGCGTGCGCCCAGTGCGAGGGGGCGGAGGAGGATGACCAGTGCAAACCCAAGATTCATCAACGATGTTGAAATACACCCTCCCTCCAAGATCCCTACACGGGGTCATTCCTTTTGAAGGAATTGCCCCGTTGGGAGACAACCGTGTGAACATCCTGAAGCGCGCCAAAACACTATTCTCAGGACTTCATCGCCACGAGTTAATCTGATTGCTACGTATTGGCGACCCGGAATCATGCGGCAACACCCTAATTGGGGCTTCAAGACGGCGAATTAGTGTAACTGTTGCGCCCGGACAGTTCCGAATCGTTCCAAAACACCGCTTCTGGTACGTCAACCATGAGTTCGGATGCAACTCCTGGGAGGTCAAATTCTGATTTAGCCCTGGTCCGAAATCCCGCTGAATCCGGCTGAATCCCGCTTAATCCCGCTTAATCTGGCTTAATCCCGGTTAATCCCGCTTAATCCGGCTCAATCCCGCTTGATCCGAGGCCCATTCTGGCTTAACAGCCCCCCAATGGGGCTTAATCCTCCTTAATCCTTCCGACGAAAACCTCCCAGTAGTTGCCTCCCAACATGAGAACCAGTGAAATTTGTACACATGTTGAAACGGATGTGCGCTGCGCTACGGCGAGAGCCACATTTTGAAAAGGAACTGCCATCAATCCGTGAAGCTCTTGCTTTAAAGCAAACGAAGCGAATGTGCGCGGCCGTTACGGCGAGAGCCACATTTTGAAAACGGCCTGCCCTCAATCCGTGAATTCCTTCCTTTGTTGCAAAGAATGTGCGCGGCGTTACGGCGAGAGCCACATTTTGAAAACGACCCGCCCTCAAGTCGTGAAATTCCTGCAAATCTTTAAAAGCGAATGCGCGCGGCACTAAGGCGAGAGCCACATTTTGAAAGCAGACCGCCCTCAATCCGTGAAGCCCTTGCACTTTGTTGACAAGAATGTGCGACGCGCTAAGGCGAGAGCCTCATTTTGAGGAGGAGGAGGAGGAGGAGGAACCCTGGTTGGGAACATCGAGGGCGCCGCTGCGGGACGGCGGTTCGGAACCTCGCCTTGTCAGGTCCCTCTACTTGCTTCAGCGCGTTCCCTGCGACCAGGTCGTTTGCGACCGGCGCGTAGCGAAGCAGGGCCTTGCCACATCCACAGCGCTGATTACAAAGTCCAACTCTCGGAGATCTGCGGAGGTCTCCAGAGTCTAGAGGGGTCCCCAGAGATCGCCGGCTGCCTCCGCGAGGTCCCAAGAGGACTCCAGAGGTCCCTGGAGGCTTTGGGAGGCCATCGGCGAGGCCCGGGAGGAAGGGGGGCCAGGCCATGAGCGCCCAAGAGTTCCGCTCCTCGAGCCTCGATCGATCAACGCCGACACCGTGGACGGCGACAACGGCGAAGACGGTGACGACGACGACGACGTTTACGACGAGAGCATGTACGAGGACGGCGTGTACGCTGTCGCCGTTCACGACGACGCCGACGTCAGAGGAGGCGAAGTTACCGATACTGCCACCCTTCCTTTCCCTCGCGTTCCCCTATGTGGGCCTCCCAGGAGGCTCGTCGCCACCGCTGGGTTCGCTTCGAACTGATGGCCAGCACACACCACCGGAGAGTTCTTTTTAGTTTTTTTTTTTTTTTTTAGTTTTAGTTTTTTGTTTCCACTTTTTTTTTTTAAAAAAAAAAAAAAAAAAAAAAAAAAAAAAAAAAAAAAAAAAAAAAAAAAAAAAAAAACGGGGAGTTCTGGGGAGCAGCGGCATATCGGTGCCTTTCCGTTGCCCCAGGCGTCTGCGGCGACGCCGCCGCCGCCCGTGCGCGCACTCACGCCCCGCGTGCGGGGGGTCGCACGCGCGAGCGCGCCGGCGGGGGAAGGAGGGCGAGAGAGATGCGCGGCACATGGTCAATTTTCAGGCGATCCCAAAAGTGGGCCTACACTCCAGGCGATGCTTAAGAAAACCCAAGTTTTCGGCCAGAGTCTCGATGATTCTTGATGTTTCAGTGTAAGTCCTAACATTTGAATAGACATTCTGGGTTTGATTTCAAATTCTGAGACTATGAATGTCTTAACCCATGATTTCTAAAGCATTTCGCAGGGTGTAGGGGGCGTGGATTGGCGACGGGTCCCGTTTCCATCTTGGGCATCGCGGATGATTGCCGCCGAGCGAGGCGGCGCCGGCCGCATTCTGGGGAGGGCACCTCCCCCGATCCATGGCTTTGGCGACCGCGCGACGGTTCCATGGATCGCTAATCCATGTTTGCGCGCCCCCGGATGGCAGCAGTGGGAAGGGCGCGTGGCATAAGCGGCACCTGACTTCCTCTCTCGCAGCACCAGCCTTTTCATTTCTTCCTCGTTTTGTGCCCCGTGCCTCGCTGCGGCCCTCGTGCTTCGGTGGCGTTGGGAAGAAGAGGGGGAGGTGGTGGACGACGCTTGGCCAGGCTTGGCCACGCAGCAGCGACACTATTGTTGCTGGCATGTGCCGAGAGTCGGTTCATGGACGGTTGCTCGGCGGGTAGGTTTCATGTAAGTGCGCCGCTGGTAGCAGTTGCTGTAGAACAAATGACGGATGGCATGACGGGCACGGTGCATGCTGGGTGGCTGGCACCACGAGGCAGGCCTTGAAGATTGCTTCCCCTTGCTGAGAAGGGAGAGGGGCCAGAAGACAGGGAAGCGGAAGAGGAGGAGGACGAGGATGAGGACGAGAACGAGAACGATGACCACGACCGACGATTATGACAGACCGACGACCCACCGACCGATCGAATGCACCCGACCGACGCCGACGACAAACCGCGACCACGACCGACGACGACCAGCGGCGACGAGGGTCCGCGCCCGACGACCACGACGGGCGACGACCGAGACCGACGACCACGACGGCGGACGGCGGCCGATGCCGACCGACCGACCAGGCGGGCGCCCGAGAGGCCGAGGAGGAGGAGGAGACACACGCCACAGTGTTCACGCTCAGGTCGGTCTAACTTAAAAGGAGGAGGAGGAGGAGGAGGAGGAGGGAAGAGGGAGGAGGGAGGAGGGAGGAGGCGGAGGAGGAGGAGGAGCAGGAAGAGGGAGGAGGAGTGAGGAGGAGGAGAAGGAGGAGGAGGAGGAGGACCAGTGTAAACTTGTAAACCCACGAGTCATCAACGATGTTGGAATGAACCCTCCCTCCAAGCTCTCTCTTCATAGGCCCCTACAAGGGTTTATTTCCACAGGGAACTGCCTCGTTGGAAGACAACCGTTTGAATTCCCCGAAGCATGCCAAAACATTGTTCTCGGGATTCCAACGCCACGGATCAACCTGATTGTTGCGTCTTGACGGTCTTGAATCGTGCCGAAACGCCATTCTTGGGATTTCAACATCGCTACTCAATGTAAGTGTTGCACCCTCATTTTTCTGAATCCGTCCAAAACACCATGTCTGGTACATGGATCACAGAAATCCGTGAAACTCTTTTTACATGTTTAAACAACGAATGTTCGCGGCGCTACGGCGGGGCGGGGTCCACATTTTGAAAACCACCCGCCCTCAATTCGTGAAACTCGTGCAAATGTTGAACCAAATGTGCGCGACGCTAAGGCGAGAGCCACATTCTGAAAACGACCAGCCCTCAATCCGTGAAGTTCGTGCAAGTGTTTAAACCGAATGTGCGCGGCGCTAAGGCGAGAGCCACATTCTCAAAAGGAAGCGCCCTCAATCCGTGAAACTCTATTGTTTTTTCCCAACCATCCTGTGGTTTTGGTTCCTCGTTTTGAAGGGACACCGCCCCGCGTTCCCATTCCTCCTCCTTCTCCCCCTCCATCCTCCCATCATCTTCAGCATCATCATCATCATCATCGTCATCATCATCCGCATGATCATTATCATTATCATTTTCATTATTAGTTTCATATCAGTCAGCGATGACCCCAAATAGATTAGACGACCCAAATCAAGGAGTCAGAGAAATGAAGCATGCTTGGAATCCGCAACTCTGCGTACAAGCAAGCGCGCAAGCAAGCAAACAAGCAATCGTGCAAGCAAGCAAGCAAGCAGGCATAGACATAGGCGTAGGCATCGGAGTTAGGGGGAGGCATAGGCATAGGCATAGGCATAGGCACAGACATCGGAATTAGGGGGGGAGGGCATAGGGAGAAAAACAACTGTTCCCTGTCAAATCGGACTTACCTTGAAAAAATCTGACATTCGACGGTAAATCTTGAGAAAGTTTGAAAACTTTGATTGTCTCTGAGAGGCTTCTGAGAGGCTTCGGAGAAGCTTACTAGAAGCTTCTCAGAGGCGTCTGAGTGACTTCTGAGAGGCTTCTGAGAGGCTTCTCAGAGGCTTCTGCGAAGCTTCTGAGAGGCTTCTGAGAGGCTTCTGAGAGACTTCTGAGATTCTTCCTGAGAGGCTTCTCAGAAGCTTCTGAGAAGCTTCTGAGAGGCTTCTGAGAGGCTTCTGAGAAGCTTCTCAGAGGCTTCTGCGAGGCTTCTGTGAAGCTTCTGAGAAGCTTCTCAGAGTCTTATGAGATTCTTCCTGAGAGGCTTCTGAGAGGCTTCTGAGACGCTTCTGAGAAGCTTCTCAGAGGCTTCTCAGAGGCTTCTCAGAGGCCGCTCGGTTCGCCTCGAAACGGCCACTGCGCCGCCGTCGCCGCTTGGGGCCAGCGGCTGAGGTTCGCCCGTCGCTGGCTCGGGGCCCAACGGCGGGAAGAACGGGCGGCTGAGGTCTGCTCGTCGCCACTGCCAAAAACACTGCCAGGCCGTCTCCGGCGCGGTGTGTCGGGGACGGGAGAGGACGGGGGCGTCCCCCCCCCCAGGTGGCGTAAGCGGCAGTGCCGCGCCGCCCTGGGGGGGGGCAATGGAGCGGCGGACTTTTTTCGAGGAGGGGGCGGGGGAGGGGCTCGAGGGGAGGAGGGGGGGGCGCCGGAGTGGGAGGAGGAGGAGGAAGAGAGGAGGAGGACGAGGACGAGGACGAGGACGAGAACGAGGAGGACAAGGACCAGGAGGACGACGAGGAGGAGGGGCGAACGGGAGGTCATAATATGTTGGCTTCACCAGCCCCGCCTCC